GCCACAAAACCACCTGAACGCCTGAACTTGAGCATAGAATATTGTGTGCAGCAGACACTCAAAACAAAATCCATGCACTGACTTTGAGTTCCAATCCGAGTTTCTCAATCAAAAAAGAAAAACACCCAGACATGGCATGAATTGAAGTCTCCTATTAGATGGAGGAAATAATTGATGTCAGTGGAAATTGATGACAAAACTGTGGTAACTATTATGTTTAAGATACTTTACATAAAAAATAAAACAAAATTGAAAAATCAATGGGTATTAGATGGACACATTTAGCAAAATTTCAAGAGAGTTTCGGACTTAAGCAGGACATTAAAAAAAAAAAGTAAATCTTGTTGTAACCAAAGTTGTAACATTGCTGCAATTCATGGCACATACAGTCACCTGAAGGCTGAAATTAAGCCAGTCCATACTGATGATTATGTAGTATTATATTTGTGATTGGTAGATGCTCAAAATTGTCATTACAAACCTGTACATGTATTTACATCGTTAAAAGTGTGTCTTGAAAATCAAGTGTTTGACTAACCTCAGTGATTCAACAGTACCCAATTCAGGTGGAACTTGGGATACATTATTGTTCTGTAAATCTAAAGTTGATAACATTGGTAACCGTAGTAACCCTTGAACATCAATGAAAGCTACTTGGTTATCAGCGATGATTATAGTCTCTAGTTTAGACAGACAGAACAACACCGGCGGTATCTCTTTGAAACGGTTACATGAAAGTATCGCATCTCTAAGATTTACCAATGTAGTTATATCATGGGGAAGATGATCTATCAAGTTATTCCTGCAATACACAAAGAGTAAAATAATAGGATGTAGGCTGGGATCCATACTAATATTTGGCTTTAAACATTGACACGCAGATCGCCGAAAACCGACCAATCTGACACAAACCGCGCACAAATCGGAACTATTTCCACATTGTGTCAACACAGGTGGCGCTATTTGGTGGGTTTGTGGCGATCTGCGTGTCAATGCCAATATTGAGAAAAATTAGCTTTTTGACCTCCCAATTTACATGCATTTTAATGTTAATAAAATAAGACATTCTGATGACTGGTTGTGCGTTTATTTTAATTGATCAACTCATTAAAGATTAAAATCGAGAGAGAATGTGTTCAAAACAAGGAAAATACGTGTAGTAAAATGGTGGCTAGTTATGCGTCATAAGACACAGGTCTGTGAGAATAGCGCCACCTGTGTTGACACAATGGACTTTAAATGTAGTAGTGGCTATCTCAGTTATCAAAATCAAAAAATTCTATCTAACAGTAAATAATAGCTACAATTTTTTTTTTGGCTGAAGTGATAAAAGCAAAAAAATAACATAGTTGAACTCTGGTGACCTTGCCCTTTGTTATATAATATAATTCCCTTTATCATAGTTTGTTTCAATATAAATATGCATTGTCATAATTAATTTTGAATACAAACAAGTTTTGGGGTTGAACCAACAGTGGGGAATCAGTCTACCGAATGTCCTTAAAAGATGTAAATATCTTACAAAAACATTGGTGCCTTATTTGTTTAATTATTTTAAGGAACATAATTT